TGGGCCGAGCCCCTCTGCGCTCCCCCCCACCCCCGCTCCCCCGCACGGAGCTGGGCCGAGCCCCTCTGCGCCTCCCCCTCATCTACTCAATAATAATTGTCTGACCCTCAATTACCAATCACTGAAAACCTAAACTGATAAAAATAAAAAAAGCTTAAAATAAATATCAATATTATAACAAAATAAAAATCCTGTCAACTATAGGTAGGGTCCTACCAAATTCATGGCCATGAAAAATGTCTCAGGGACTGTGAAATCTGGTCTTTTGTGTGCTTTTACCCTATGCTATACAGATTTCTGGAGGGAGACCAGAGTTTCTCAAAGTGGGGGTCCTGACCCTAAAGTGAGTGGGTGGGGGGGGAATTGCAAGATCGTTTTAAGGGGATTGCAGTATTGCCACTTTTACTTCTGTGCTGATTTCAGAGCTGGGCGGCCAGCTCTGAAGGTGGTGCCCTGCCAGCAGCAGTGCAAAAGTAAGGGTGGCAATGCCATACCATGCCACCTTTACCTCTGTGCTGCTGTCTTCAGAGCTGGGAGGCTGGAGAGTATTGACTGAGGGCCCAGCTCTGCAGGCAGCAGCGCAGAAGTAAGTGGGGCAATACGATACCGTGGCATCCTTACTTCTGCGCTGCTCCTGGTGGTGGCTCTGCCTTTAAAGCTAGACTCCCGGCCAGCAGCCGCCACTTTCCAGCTGCCCAGTTCCCAAGCCAACGCCACCACCTGCAGCAGCGCAGAAGTAAGGTAAGCAGTACCGCAACCCCCCTACAATAATCTTAAAACCCCACCACGATTCCTTTTTGGGTTAGGACCCCTACAATTACAACACTGTGAAATTTCAGATTTAAATAGCTGAAATCATTAAATTTACTATTTTTAAAATCCTATGACCATGAAATTGACCAAAATGGACCGTGAATTTGGTAGGGTCCTAACAATAAGGTTTTGACCCCCCGCCCCCAGCAGATATGGAGAAGGGGGTAAAACCTCCTCTAAGAGAATCTCAGATGGGGAGATTAACACACAGAACACCTGTAGATGTTATTTTATTTTAATATTGTTATTGATAAAATGTCCTATTTTTTCCAAAAGGTTTTCAGTAATCTCTTGAGTGTGTGACTCTCTATAGTGCTATCTGCTGAGGTTAGTAAACATTTCCCTTTACATCACTCTCTCTCCACTTTAATGATGCAAAATATTCACAGACAGAGCTGTGTCCTAAACGGTGGCCTGCACCACATGAAGCCGAGGGACATGAACAAGAGGGGCCAGTGGGGCTGGTGCTTCCCCCGCTCCCCGTTACAGCTGCCTGAGGCGGCTTGCAGCTGTGCTAGCCAATATGCCTTATCTCCCTTCTCCAAATAGGCAATGTCAAACACTCCGACTGTAGGACAAGGGGATCCCACACTGAGGCCCCCCAGGAGCACCAAGCTTGGTGTGCACTACCAGGTGCTGGTGAGCTTGGCACCCTTGCGGGATGGAGACTGGTGACTGCAGACCCCCTTGAATTGCTCCGTCCAGGTTAAAACAGTCCCCAGCCCCACCCGCGACCAGCACAGCTCTGCTTCTGGTGAGTGACGGGAAGTGCAGAGCAGCTTGCTGGGAAGTGTTTTCAGTGTGGTTGTCTCTCCCTCCTTGCCTGTGGGTCTCTACTGCACTGGAGGCCTGGTCCCGACACCCTGTCTAATATGTGCTTTGCTGTTTGCCTGAGCCCTGCCTGCCCCCCACACAGGGAGGGGGGCTCTGGCCATCAACAAGGGCCACGGTGAGGCTTGGGCAAGCCCCACACAGTGTTCCGTTGTCCCTTTGGGAAATATAGTCACCCAACCCTGGGGGCTCCATGCTGCACCAGTGGTGAGTGACTCTTGTGGGCTGCGGCCCCCTGGAATCTCATGTTCTGCGCGGTCAAATCCCTCTGCATGGCTGTGAAGTCACAAGAGGCCATTCTGTACTGAGGCTGTGTGTTGGTGGGGTGCTGGGCTCGTGGTGGCTGTGGCTTGCGTTGCTCCCTCTGCTCCCCTGCAGAGGTAGCCAGGGCTGCACTGAGACCGGCTGCTGAAACCTGGACTGGGATCAGGCCCTAAACGCTGGGCCCTGTGACTACCTCAGGCCTGCTGGGCTCTGCATCCCTGCAGCGTGGCGTCTGGGACTAGCTAATGCCCAAATTGTGGGGTGGGGGTGCTGATAACCTCGCTGCTGAGGTTGCTTCCACACCCCCTCGCCCCGACCATGAGAGTGGCTCCAGCACCTCATGCTGCTCCCTGGGGAGGAGTCTGTGTGTGTGTGTGGGACTGGGTGGGCCAGATTAGCAGTGCCACACCCCTGCCCCCTGGTGAGCAGCCCTATATCTGGAGCTCTGTCCCCAGGCTGGGGAAGGCAGCACAGTCTGGTACCTGGGGAAGGGTCTGCTGGGAGCCCTACACTAGTGCCTTAGGCCAGAAGGACCAGATTAATCTTTTGTTGGCACTACCCCTGCTTGGTGTTTTCCCACCACTTTCACCAGGTGGGAGGGGGGGGAGAGGAGTGAGCAGCAAGTGGGGCCATGGGGAGGAGAGGCTGAGCAGGGGCAGGGTCATGAAGCGTGGGTAGGAGCGGGAGCGGGACCACGGTCCCGGTGCTGAGGCCCCTTCTGAGTGTGGGTCCAGCGCCCTTGTAAACCCGGTATTGTAGGCTAGGGTTACCATACGTCTGTATTTTCCCCGACATGTCTGGCTTTTTGGTTCTCAAATTGCTGTCCCGGAAGAATTTCCAAAAAGCTGAACATGTCCAGGAAAATAGGGAAGCATGATAAACCTAGAGTTACCTGCAGGAGCTGCGTGTCTGGGATGCTTGCCCAGCCCCAGCTAAATGTGTAACCCACTTCCCCCCACTGTGCGAGGGGACACTGCGGCTTTGATGGGCTCCGGCCAGCCAGGAAGTGATGTCATTCCTCTTCTGGCCCCACCCCAGCCGGGGGTGTGGCGCTGTGGGAGCTGGAGCCATGCGGGCTGCTGCCTGGCCCTGGGCACGGGCCCTATTGCTGTGCTGCTTCCCGGGCCCTGGGGCTGCTGCCCAGTGGGTCCCCGGCTGCTCTTCTGGCCTGGGCTGAGTCCTGTTGCTCAGCTTGAGCTGCTCCGTGCGCTGCTGCCCCGAGCCGCTGTCCCCGTGAGTACCTGCCCGCAGCCAGCCCCCGTCTCCAGCCCCTGCCATACCCACTGCTCGCAACCAGACAGCCCCACACCCATAGGCGCCAACTTTACCCGGCGCCAGTGGGTGCTTGGGCCCCCCGGTCTCCAGCCCTTTCTCCAAATCCCCGGCCCTGCCTCCTCTCCCGGGTGTGCCGCATTTCCCCTCCACCCCCCTCCCTCCCAGGCTTGCTGTGAATCAGCTGTTTCCATGGCAAGCCTGAGAGTGAGGGGGGAGGAATGGCGGCGCGCTCACGGGAGGAGGCAGAGCGGAGGTGAGCGTGGGGGGGGGGGGGGGCGCAGGAAAGGAAGTAACCCGTGGGGGGTGGAGTGTCCTCTTTTTTGAATGTTCAAATATGGTAACCCTACTGTAGGCCAGGGCTGTGCTGCAGCGGCACAGCCCTAGCCCTGGGGCCATGCCACAGTAGCTTAGACATCTCCTGTGTTAACGGGAGGGGTTCTCCTGTTGCTGTAGTTAATCCACCTCTCCCACAGGTGGGAGCTAGGTGCACAGAAGAACCGTGCTGTTGGCCCAGCCATATTTACACCGGCGGTTAGGCAGACCTAATTGTGGCACTAAAGGTGCAACATTTTTCACAGCCCTGACAACATAGCTAGGTCGATCCAATTTTTAAGCATTCAATCTGGCCCAAAATTGGCTGAAACAAAAGTGTAGATTATACAAAAATGTGATGGTTTAGTTCCACCCACCCACCCAGCAGGGCAATAACCTAGTGGTCCCCGATGCTTGAGCAAAGAGACTTCTCAAGCTGTGGTACAAATGTAGAATTTTGTTTTTCTTTGGTTGGTGCCTTATGAGGTGATTTTACATGATTTTATTTATTAATAATGTTTTGCAGAGTAGTAGGTCTCAGAGTCCCCTATCTTAAATTTAAATTTAGTCCTATCATGCCAAATTTTGTGCAAACTGATAAAAGTCATGTACCCTGCCCAAAAGAACAAGTGTGACCTTCTGTATTTGCTTTAAAGGCTTGTAAAATATTCCAGAAAAAATCATGACCAGGTGGGCCCGTACAAGTACCACTCATAGCAAAAAGCCTCTGGACGCTACACCATGGGAAGATATGAAAAATGGATCCACCAGTGGAACAGTGAGGAATAAACAGCAAAATTATTCAAATACGCTTTCTTTAAAGAATGATCAAGTGAAGAAGAAGAAGAATAAAAAGAAAAAGGACTATTTGAATGAAGATGTTAATGGATTCATGGAATACTTAAAACAGAGCTCACAGGTTATACATAATGGAAAGGTGAGAGCAGCAGACAGCCATGAGATGAGGGAAGAAGTAGCAACAGCCTTGAAGAAAGATAAGCGTCGGGAGGGAAGAAGATTGAAGAGACAAGAGATGAAGAAAAACACCATGGTAAGATCTCTGTCCTGTTCTGCCCTTTCTCTTCAAGTTTTTGTTAATAAGTGTATTCTATGATTAAGCTAAAAGTAATATAGGTAAAGAGCACTCTTTTTTCAACAAATTGCAAACATTTGTAGAAAAGTCTTAAAGCCTGCAGAATTTCAGTGTAACTAATGTTAAGTGGCTCACCTGTTTGGAATCCACAAAATGTACCAAACTTACTTTTTGAAGGAGGATGCACTCCTTCTGTAATGATCAGCTGTTGATCAGTGAATGCCCAGTGTGAAATTCCTACATACACCTTTGTACAATCTTATAGATGGGTGAATAATGCCTATAATATTGGAGCTTGATCATCTCATCGGTTGTGGATGCGGGTCTGTGACAACTATTCTGTGGTTTGCTAGGCAAATTGAATTTATCCCCATTATATTCTAGGAATTTTCCCCTTAAGGCTGACTGTCTTAAGATTCATAAAGTGCTTATTAGACTGGAATTTTGTGGTCTTGCTTTCAGTGCCAGTTGTTGAATCTTAGACCTTGAGATCATTATATGTCTTATTGGGCATTGATGTGACCTTATTTTAAAGATGTAAGGACCAAAACTTATCTTGATTCCGAAGTCTAAAACTAAACCTTGCAGGTGTTCTCTTACCCTAAATATGTGTCTATGACACAGAGATTTCAGGTAACTTTAATTTTAATATGAAAAGTAGTTTAAAGAAAATAAAATTCTGTTGGAGGTAAATGCTGATTGTGTGGTATTAGCAGTAAGTGTATCCTTTTAAAATATTCCTGGCTGTAAAAATACACAGCAAAACATATGTAATGAGTTTCCATAGTCAGTTTAGTAATCCACATTTTATTTTCGAAGGTATGTTTCCACTGTAGGAAGCCTGGCCATGGAATTGCTGACTGCCCAGCTGCCCTTGAAAGTCAGGATATGGGTACTGGAATCTGTTATCGATGTGGATCTACAGAGCATGAAATCACCAAGTGTAGAGCAAAAGTAGATCCAGCTCTTGGTATGTTTTAACATCTACTTTTTGCTCTTAAAGGAAGTGCTTTGTAAGGGTTTTCTGATCACTGAGAGAGTTTCATTTTTGGTCAGAAAGTTTAACAGTTTTGAGGACATCCACTTTAACAGGTAATGCTTCCACATTACTGCAATATTGATTTATTTCTGTGAAAACACTGTGATATTATCTGTAACTTTGGTGTGAAGGTTTAACATGCATCTTAATAGAAGAACAATTGGAATCTTACAGGGGAATTTCCGTATGCAAAATGTTTTATTTGTGGTGAGATGGGGCATCTGTCAAGGTCATGTCCAGATAATCCTAAAGGACTGTATGCTGAAGGTGAGTATAATTATTGCTGTAAACCAAACATTTGCCCTCTTAAAATGGTGGTTAAATTTAGCAAAGAACAAGGTGGCAGCTGCCAGGTACGAGAGAGTGTAGTGAACAGAGCTCCTTGTAAGAGGTGTACTTTGTGTAGAAAAAGTATTTGACAACTGTAGTGTGTCTAGTCCATATCTTCATTAGCTAGTGATTGCCTCAAGTAACTGAAAAAAGAACAGGAGTACTTGTGGCACCTTAGAGACTAACAAATTTATTAGAGCATAAGCTTTCGTCTGCTACAGCTCACTTCTTCAGATGCACATAGAATGGAACATATATTGAGGGTGTGTGTGTGTGTGTTCCATTCTATGTGCATCCGAAGAAGTGGGCTGTAGCCCACGAAAGCTTATGCTCTAATACATTTGTTAGTCTCTAAGGTGCCACAAGTACTCCTGTTCTTTTTGCGGATACAGACTAACACGGCTGCTACTCTGAAACCTGTCAAGTAACTGAGCATGGGAGCTAAATTTAATTTGAAATTCAAAAAGGGGGTGTTCTCGATGATTCTACAAGGGAAAAAACCCTTTGTATTTATGTACACAATGCATTGAAATATACACCTGAAGAAAGAGGGACACTCTAAACTTGTGGGGAGGAAGTGTATAGGCTCTTTTGACTAGAGAGACATTTTAAAAGCTAAATGCGCTGTTCTGTCCTCCCATTATATGTTGGATACGTGGGTCTCTTCAGGTATTCCATGGCTGTTAGCCAAACAAAAGTTATTACTGCACTAAAATTCTATGTTTAAATATGTGATAATGCTGCAAAAGAATAAGGAAATCAAAGTAAAGGCAGACACTGCCTTTAACTTGTGCTTTTGGATTGTAATTAATTCGGCCTGTGACATCACATGTAGATCTGAAACATGCAGTACCTCGGCATCCTGGTAATTGCAACATGCTCTAAGTGAAGCCTTTATTCTAGAAAAGGGACAACCTCAACTTAAATCACACTTCTGTCTGAAGTTGTTTAACGAAAGAGAGAGATTAAAATAGTCTTTTTTAAATTTGATAATCCCTTTTTGTATTTTTAACTTTCATTTTGCGGTATAATCAACTAGTTTGTGGATCTTTCACACAGTAACTTGGCAAAAATAGAAAAGTGACTGTAAAATCTCAGGTTAGTAAGAGGACTAAGTCAGATGTATTTAAAATTGCTTTTAACCTTTTTTGAATTGACTAGATCTCAAGTATATGTTGCTCCTTTAAAGGCCGGATTTTGTCCTCAGACATCCACATGCAATTCTCATTAACTTCAGAAGTAGTTGGTGCATGCTGGTATCTTGGAACAGAATTTGTTTTCTTAGAAACAATGTCAGAATTTCAAATAGCTACTCCTCAATATTTCTAGGCGAATATAATTCAAATGACTCTTTGCAGTAATGTGACTCTTTGCAGTAATGTTAATACTGGATTTGTATCTATCGTTCAGCATCCATAGATATGAGTGCTTTACAAAGGAGAGTAAGAATAATTATTCCTATTTTATAGAGGGAAAACTGAGGCCCAGAGGTCAAATTACTAGTCCATGCTCACAAAGCAGGTCTCCTATACACTGGACCATGTCTCAAGTTAACTTGAATTTTAGTCTATGAAAGGCCTCTGAGTTAGTCTCTAGAGGGAATTTTTATCTTTATTTATGCTATACCTTTGGAAAGATAGAGATATATAATTATATTATATATTATATTTTATATATATATAAATCTAATTTGTTTAACTTCTAAATTTTCTTGTTTCAAGTGTAGATCAGTTTTTATAACATGTTGACAAGTGATTAAAATATGCATAATGATAAAGCAAATATTATTTCCAGTTGTTAAGAAATAGCTTTGGATGTTGCTTTCTTAATAGGAGGCTGCTGCAGGCTTTGTGGATCTGTGGAACACTTTAAAAAAGATTGTCCAGAAAACCAGAACTCAGGTGAGATCCAAGGGAATATAGCTTGCATGTCAAAGTTTTAAAATATAAAGACAAATTATTCTGTTGTAATGATGAGACCTATAAAGAGGGCTTGAAAAATACTCACCTAGTAGCAAATATGAAACTGTTTGGGAGGAATGGGGAGTGTAGGCGGATAAAGTAAACAGCAGAAATTGACAGTTTTTATTACAAATGGTTCTAGCCCTTAACACATATGAAAATAGTGCTCCAAATATAAAATGAATGTGAACCAATAGAATGCTGTCTTCCTGAGACAGAGTGCACCAATGCCTCTACTGTCTCCAGGGGCTGCCAGGTGAAACTGACAGAATGATCATTTTCCTGTGAGTAGCAGTGAAACTGAAAAAGTCAGTTTCAGAGTGGGAAAGCTTTGAGTGCAGTTGGGTAGTGGAGCTATTTGAGGAAGAGGATATCTCCAAAAATGGAGACTAGGGATCCTCCCTGCCCTACAGCTGTCAGGAAAGAGCGGGTCTGACGAAGGGAGAATAGTGGGTCCTATAGACTTCTCAGTAGGGAGAAAAGAGGAGATCTCTCTGGCTGCTCTAAGGATGTTTCAGACTAGTTAAGGCTGATATGAAAGATCTGGCCCCTGAGCAGGGTCTAGGGACTACAGCCTGGTATAAATCCAATAGCTGAGGTTGGAGGAATGGACAGCTTGCTGTGGTGGTGCTCCTCGATTGCTGCTGGTAGTGGTTGGGGAAGATACTTTACTAGTCTCTGGCTAACTGTTTTAGTTCTGTGCTAAAGGTTGTTGGTTAGCCCTTCTAAACCCTCCAAATTCTGCCAAAGTTAGTGTTTGTTCAAATATCTGGAAAAAATGAGTTGAAAAATATCCTTACATTGTCTACTGATAACTCTGAAAATTCATCATTAGGTTTTATTTTCATTTACTTTTCTTTTCCCCCTTACTGACCAGTGTTTGTTTATTATAGAATTGTCTGCATCTGGGAGATATGGTTTAATGATCATGCAGAGAATGGAGTCCAGGTTCCTAATTTCTAATAGCTGTTAGGCTACTGCTTTGTTTTCTGAATATCTGTAATAGAGACTACAGGAAGGTGAAATCACAGGAGAGGGATTGTATGTTGTTATAGTGACTCAGTAATTTTGAGTTGCATGCATCCATTATTTCCATTTCCCCCTCCAAAAGCCTCTAGTGCCATTGGCTCTAAGATGCTGTCAGATCTCAATCATCAAATCCAGTTTCCTTCACCAGGATCTCACACAATCTTCATCCATCACTACTAAATATATATCTCTTGATTATATAAATGTTATGTCAGTTATTCTCAGTGTGCAGGTAGTACCTTTACGCTGGCATCAGATGTATGTGAAATGGCTGAAGTGTTCTAGTTCTTGAAGCATATTTTTGCCAAATAGGATTTGTTGGAGTTTTTTAACTGGTGTATGATTGTCAAAGATTTGTAGTGTAGAAGGGGCACTAGTGGTACTTGTGGTAATTTGTTCATTAATATTTTCCAAAGGTTAGCAGGCAGTACAGATTTTTGTTAGATGTAGCTTAAACAAAAGCCACTTCTGGTAATGTAGAACAAAAGAGATGTTTCTTTAATGTTGGGGAGATCTGAAATGATTGATTCCAAGGCTCAAACCAAACCCATGTCACATAACAGACCTCCGTGGAGTGGAGTTAATTTTTCAAGAATCTGATTTCAACCCACTGAAAACTAAAACATTGAAACTGCCCAGTGCTAAATTTAAAGAATGGCCCAACCTGGAATGGGTTGAGGCAGTCCTAGGTTTCACAAGAAAGAATTACACAGAAGTACACAGGATATGGAGGCACAGGTAAGGCTCTCTCTACACTATAAAGTTTTGTCCGCAAAAGCTGCCTTTTGCCAATCAAATAGGGGAGGTGTACACAGTACAAAGCTACTTTTGGTGGCAAAACAAAACCACCTCAATGAGCGGCATAACGCCTTTTGTGGCAAAGTTAAAGCAACAAAGCATTGGTGTAGACACTGCTGTTTGTTTTGACTACAGAACTGGCTTCCACCAGTATCCCACAATGCCTGCTAGGACAGCTCTGCTCACTGTTTTGATCTCTGCTGCCCTGCAGGCATGCGTCCCTCCCCTTTCAAAGCTCTGGGGAAGTATTGAACAGCTGAGCCTACTGCTCCCTTTGGGGAACAAAGAGCAAATCATTACCTGGAATGCTCCTGTTCTGCCCAGCTCTAGGAACTCAGCAGCAGGCAGACTGCTGCTGCAGGGCGGGGGGGGGTGATGAGGGTGGGACTGCTGTGCTGCTTTGACATTCTTCAGCAGGCTCAGGATGCTGCTCCCAGCAGCTGAGGAGGCTGTGGGAGAACTCAGAGGGAATCACAGAACCACGGGCAGGCAGAGCGGGCTGCTTCAGCAGAGACTGCTGTGCTGAGCAGAGCTGAGGGCTAATGTGAGGAGGGTGTCCGTGTCCCCCTCCCCCCCCCCCCCCCCGCCCTCAGATAGGTCAGTAGCCTACTTTCTCCCCTGCCCTAGGCACACCACTCTCCTCTCCTTCCCCCCACACCCTTCAGTTGAAAAAGCAGCTAACAATCTACTAGGATGTTCCTGGAATGGTGGGATTAAGAAATCTGCATCATGTGATGCTGTACCTGCCCCATGAGGCATTGCAAGCCCTTCCCAAAGCACCCTGCTGCCAGTTGCACAGTGGGATACTACCACAGTGCACTGCTCTCTGTGTCGATGCAAGAGCTGTTAGTGTGGATGCACTCTGCCGACACAAGGAGCTAGTGTGGACATGCAACAGCGGTTTTAAGTAGAGCGCTTTAATTAAAGCGGCATAACTTTTACCGAGAAAACTTTGTAGTGTAAACAAGGCCTAAGTGTGAGATCTTCTAGGGCAAACAGAATCTAGTGAGTGCTACTGAAAGCTTGCCTGCCTGGAACCCCACTGTGAGAGATGCACATGACTTGGGAGTGCAGTTCGAAACTTCTGAATAGCTGTGTATATTGGTACTGTCTATACCCCATGTCCATGCCCTTGTGTGCTTCTCTACCCCACGTCCGGGTCTATTAGATTGCAGTTGTGATTGCTATGCTGTTCCTTTTGATCACCATAAGTAGTGAATAGAGGAACTCCTTAATATATTTCAGGTCATTGTTTTTTCTTTGATTTGTTTGTGGGATGGTCAGATAGTGTTAAGATTTTTAGTTCCATTGGATATTTTGTTTCAAGGCTGAGTAATTCCCACACTCTTGTGGACCTTATTTAAGGTGGCCAAAGCCAAGTCTACCCACTCCAAGTAGTGCCCCCTCTTCTAGTGGCATTGAATCAGTCACCAACAGGCCTACTCAGTGATGACGCAGGAGGATCACATTCCTAGTTACTGTTCTAGCCCAGACCATTTTAGAGGGGGTTGTGAGTGTGTCCTATGGCCTAATGGAATACAGGACTCTCCTAGATACCATGCCTATCAGGGTGTCATGGTATTGGTGTCTGGACACTCTTTGACACTGCTGGTGTTGATGTCTTGACAGTGAGCGCCACTACATTGCCCATACTGATATCAAAAGCTTGTGGGTTGCTGGGCTCTGGCTCTGGAGCCCTGATGTCAGACTCCTGCTGTCTAGTGCCTCAGCGGCAAGTTCTTCTTTTATGTAGTTGTTCTGCACTGACTCGTCAGGAGGGAGTCCTGAGGATGTAGGCAGGGTACATATGCAGCCCTAATGGCTGGGTACTGTTCAGACATTCTGACCAAAGTGGTCGTATCCCCTACATCATGCACTCATGCAGGCAATAGTCTTGGGTTACTTCATTTAAGTAACCATTTTTTATATACCATGAAAGAACACACACTTTCTTTCAGGCTGGCACACAAGTGGAAATTGGAGCAGTTTCAGTAGGAGAGAAGGAATTTTGTAGTGAATAAACAGTGGTGCTCTGTGAACCCTTGTGAATGACAGACTATCACTGTATCAGTGGCAACCTTTAGTTGATGAATTTGGTTTTCATTTAGCAGTATTGGTATTCATGTATGTCAGAAGGCAGAAGAGCAACACTAAACAGTGTGCTTACCCCATGCAATTCCTATGCTGCAGGAGATGTGACAAATATGAGAGTTTTAGTGATGAGATGCCTACTCATTGAAATATATAGCTTCTATGAGATACGTAATGGCAACTGACAAATGCCATTTTGAATGCAGAAGTACACTGCATATCCCAATCTAGAAAAATATGGATCTCTCTCAGGAGACTAAATTATATATATGAAGCTGAATTGGAATTCTCCATGGTTGGAAAACACATCCATAATGAAGACTGACAGTTAGATGCTGTGTAATTTCACAGGAGACCTGTTAGAACTAACACTGATATTTAAAAACAAGCACTGCTGCTTACAAAGCTGTTAGAATTCACTGAATCTATAATGATATGCTGTGGATAAGAATGAAAAGAGAAAATTTTGTAATCAGTTTGCATCATGCAAAGTACTCTTTGTGAGTGGGATAAATAAGATAACTGATACTCCCAAGACTCAGGGTTACAGTCAGTTACTAAAACACACACCATTTCCCCTGGTGACTCTTATTCAGATGCAGTTAAGGTATGCCAAAGCTGTTTGTTACTTGTTTTAGACTGGAACTGCCACATATGCACTGAAATTAATATAGGTTACTGATAACTAACTGGTCCATGTAATATTTTCAGCATATTCTGACTAGCTGGCCTCCAAAAATTGAACTGCAGTACAGAAGAGAAATATAGCATGCCAGTGTGCTAAGTTTTTAGGAGGGGTATGTTAACTGGTATTGAATGGAGTAAAGTGTGGAAAGATGTTCTCATGATTAAAGAGTCAAGAGATCAGCTGTGCCACAAACTTCTTGCATGACCATTGGCAGATCATTTCTGCCTTAATATCCCAATCTATACAATGGGAATGATATTTACCTACCCTCTAGGCGTGCTAAGGCTTAATTAATGTTGGTTAATTACAATGAGGCCTTTGTGGAAGGTGTTGGAGGGGAAAGAAAGTATTATAGTTAACCCACTTTGGTGATGATAGGAGAGGGCCTAATTTGAAAATCTTGGTGAGTCCCCTGCTGAGAAAATATACCTTTATATAGTGTGTTCTATGTTTGGGTTTTTTTTTTTTAAGTTACAATATTTACTGAACCCTAATAATGCTTTGGGAGATAGCTGAGTTTGTAGAATAGAGGTTAAACAACTTGCCTAAGGTCATGGAGAGAATTTGTCAGAGCTAGAATTAAAATGCAAGACATCCTGATTGAGAGAATGTGGCCCAGTGGTTTAGCCACAAGACCGGTCAAAGTGAAAATCTTGGATATAACAAATAGTTTTACATAATCTTTTTTGCCTCTCTTGCTCCACAGATCAAGCAGTAACAGTTGGTCGATGGTCCTATGGAATGAGTGCAGATTATGAAGAAATTCTAGAGAGCCCTAAACTACAAAAACCAAAAGTAAAAGTACCAAAAGTTGTTAACTTTTGATAACTGCTCTCAGACTACATTAAACATCATTTGTCTTCTGAGTGGTCACTGAGTTATACAACTGCAAGATAAAGCTGGGTTCCTTAGGCCAAATTCAGCCCTAGCATAGTGGGCATAACTTCACTGACACCTACTTGCATTGATTCTGGCTTCAGTAAACTAGCTGGATTGCAGTTGCCACATGACTTCTTGTGTATTCACAATTTTCTACAAACCCCCTCCCCTGCCAACCTTAAATGGTGATCACTTAAAAACCTAAACAATGCCTAAGTGAAGGTGTCCTGAGGAGAGAAGTAATACAGCAAACAAATGTTTAAAATGCTGTCATAGTTCAGGGCTAACTGCACCACTGGCCCCTCTCCAGTCTCTCTAAATGTGCTCATTAAATCGCAGACTTCATGCTTTCAACTCTCCAGGGTGGAATCGCACGATTGGGGATTTGGGCTGCAATACTCCGTGTACCAGCCATTCTCATCCCTACAGGTCTGCTTGCGTTCAGCATAGGCTCCTTAAAACGAAGTATTGTTTATGAACACGTTCCTTCAGCGAAACAAAAAAAAAGGCCAACACATATGAAACCTCAATTATGCAGCTTCACTTACTGTCCCCAATAACACCTGGATAGTCAGTTATACTCTACTGGAAAACTTCTAGAAGCCACCCCAGATTTATTAATGCTTTACACACAATGGTGGGTCCAGAACCACAAAATGTATCTGAATGGGAAATTTGCCTTTTCAGTAGTGTGCTATCGGTGCCAAGACAGATTTGATGCATTCAGTGTGAAATCTGAATTGCTAAAGCATTTACAGACAAAGTACTTCTGTGCATCTTAGAAGGTGCTTAAGTGTGCCTTAAAGGGTGCTCAAGGATCCCTGTCTCATCAAAATCTTAGTTTGATTCAGAACTCTAATTATGAGACACTGTACTAAACTTTTAAAGTAACTTTGTCATAGTTAATCTTTAAAGGATAATTATGTAGTGATCAAGATGTTCACTTAACTTCCTATTTTAACTTGTCCTTTTATGAATGTGTTATGACCCTTCTTGAAAGATGGCATGGCTTAGCAAACTCTTTTGGGCCAAGCCATGGCTTGTTGCTGCCTTGGAATGTACGGTTTCTTGTGGTAAAGCAGAATACACAAAATTATTGTTTAAATGCTTCCTTATTTATATATTTTCTTAATATATTTTATTAAAATAAGTCAATTTTAAATTTGAATTTTCTATCATGGTAGTTGCATTTTTCCTAATGATTTCCCTGGTTCTGGTCTTATTCTTCCACAGAATAGCTTTCCTTTTAATGCATCTTTGGACTATGCCTATCTGGACTTTAGGAAATAAATGCTTATGCATCTGGCTCATCAGCCTCCATAAAGTACATAAATACAGTTTGCAAAAACCAAACGAACCCAAAATGGAAGTAAATACCAGTAACCTCCTCATACCTTTATAGCAGTTAACTACAGAAACAGCAGGGAGGGAAAGCACAGAAAAAATACTAGGTTGAATCTTTTAAAGGTAAAAACAGCTTTGAGATTTCAGCAGGTGTATTGGTATTTGGTGTATAGTACTGATGCTGGAGTGGCAACTGTGAGAACATTGCAAATGTTGTGGAAGTAGATGGTGTATAGCAGAACTCTATGCATCCCCTCTGCAAGGAGCAGCTAAAACAGCCTGAGGATTGCCCAGATTTGTGCCCCCTACTGTCATAGTCCCCAGGAGTGTTTCAGTAATGGGGAAGGGACAGGGCACAGCACTGCTCTGGCTATATCTACTCACGTTCCCAACATGTCCCTCCAGGCCCATTCCTTCACCAGAGCTATCTAGTTGGTGATGGGCATCACAGAGCTGAATTGGCATCTTATAGGGAACTGTGCTGGGTCATGAGTGGGGCCATGCAAACACTTTGCAGAAGCACCTCTGGTGTAATGTGGCTGTAGCACAAAACTGCATTCTCTCTCCCTCCCCCTCCTCACTAGTAATTGAGCACTCCCACTATATTATACACTAGGCAAATGCAAAATTAGAAGAAGTAACCAATGTTTTTAAATCAGTGCTTCAGTGGGCCGGGAGCACTCCAGTGTGGCTGTTTAAAGTAAGAAAGTGGATAGTGTAACGGTAACCTACAGGAAGCACTACTGGAGGTTTACGGATCTATTTCACTTCTGATGTATGTTGGAACAATTCCTCTCTGCTTAAGGCAGTAGTGACTGGTGTGTGAAGTCACCAAATGCGTAGGCAGTTGTGGAGCAAGCTGACAGTATCAGTGGGAAACATCTATGCAAGAACTAAAGAACCCCTAGAAAGACTAGATTTTGCAGGTTCTCTGCCTGAGATTCAGGGTACCTGGACTGGACTGGGAGTCACAAGTTGCTGGGCCTTTTTGGCTTTTGTATAGTCAGTGCAAAGGGTTTCTGGGACACAGCTTTGACTCAACACTTAGAGCCAAATTTTGGCATTAAAGAAGCCCTTTGGTGTGGTTCTGTGTGATTTCCCAACCATGTTTTTGCTACCCACAGGTCATTTACCGACAACTACCCACAACTAGGTGCTATAATGGTGCCTTGCACTCAGGTAGACTCCTTACATCCTCTATCACTGTGCAAGGGGGTGCAAATTAGTGTAACAGCTGTGTGTGTATGAGGGCTGGGGGGGTAGAGATAAAACCACCCAAATGACTGAGGATGAGCCTAAGAGTAACATTTTTGAGGGCTTCTCAGTCTGATTTTTCAAAAGTCACTGGGGCCCATATTCTCAAGGCTAGTGAGTTAGGTGCATAAATACTTTTGAGGAGCTGGGCCTAGGTGACTTTGGAAAATGTGACTCTCATGTGGAGTGGCTATAAAGAGACCTAAAGGAGTCTACTTGAGTGTAAAGTATTCTGAATTAGTGTTAGGAGACCAGATCCTAGCTCCTGTTCCATAGTGCAAAATGGGGTGGAAACTGGTTGCATTTCTGAAGATGGGGATTTTCCCAGCAGGGAGAAGATCCCAACACCTATGCCAGATGCTCCTACAGCTGTCAACATAGGGGCTGGGGAGGGGGTGTGGCTCAAGTACTGTGTGTTCTAGCTATTCCAAGCTGCTGGACAGCTCCTTAGGAGACTTGCCAGACAGCCCCATGGCTGCTCTAAACTGCTCAGGGCATAAAGCTGGAATGAAGATCATGGAGCAGTAACCAGCTCCCTTGTATTCCCCCTGCCCTCCCATCTCTGCTACCTGCAACAGAGGCGCTGGGGACAGAGGTACCAGTAACTATTCCCTGTTTTCTGAGGGCTTGATCTAGCTCTAGTTGAAATCAATGGGAGTCTTTCCATTGACTTCAGTGGGCGCTGGATAGGGTATTAACCGCTCAGGTCTGAATGCACCAAAGCATAAGCCTCTAATGTAGGGGCGGGCAAACTTATTGGCCTGAGGGCTGCATCAGGTTTCTGAAATTGTATGGAGGGCCAGTTAGGGGAGGCTGTGCCTCCCCAAACAGTCAGGCATGGCCCAACCCCTCCCCCCCCCCGCTTCTTGCCCCCTGAGACTCCTGCCCCATCCAACCACCCCTGATGGCTCCTCCGGAACCCTTGCCCTATCCACACACACTCCCCATAATCCCTGCCCCTGACTGCCCCCTGCTGACCCATCCAACCCCCCACTCCTTCCTGACTGCCCCCCTGGGATCCCAAGCCCATTCAACCACCCTGTTCCCCACCCCCTGACCACCACCACTCCGAACTCCCCTGCCCTCTATCCAACCCCCCCTGCTTCCTGCCTCCTTACCGCGCTGCCTGGAGCATTGGTGGCTGGCGGTGCTACAGCCGCGCTGCCCAGAACACCAGGACAGGCAGCCGTGCCACCCGGCTGGATCCAGCCATGCCACCGCGCAGCACAGAGCACCGGGTCAGGCCAGGCTCTGCAGCTGCGCTGCCCCAGGAGTTTGCAGCCCCACCACCCGGAGCATTGCGCTGGTGGCGCAGTGAGCTGAGGCTGCGGGGGAGGGGGCTGGGGGCTAGCCTCGCCTCCCGGGCCAGGTAGGAGGGTCCTGTGGTCCGGATGTGGCCCGTGGGCCATAGTTTGCCCACCTCTGCTCTAATGCAATCCTGAGGTGCACCACCATGATTCCTGAACTTTTATTCTTTAAATCCATTCAACGGTATTGATTCAGACTAAGGACTAACTGCCAGCAGTATTCCTTTTTTTTAATTTCAAAGCAGTTTAGAACAAAAAGCCTCTGAAACCATCATTCCTTTAAGTCTATAATTTAACATGGCCAAAATAGTTTATTCATCATTATTATTTATTAGTCTATATTTTTTCAAAGCTATAATATTAATACCCAGCGCTTCCCTGGCACTTGTCAGCGGTAGACCTCACAGCACTTTACAAAGGATGAAAGCTTCATTATTATTGCTATAGACCAGAGCAGATTTTTAAAACTGAGTTTAGAAGTGTTTGTAATAGAAACTATGTCCTCATTTATGCCTGGGCAACTCCACCAAATTCAAGTGAGTGGTATAAATAAGAACTTGTCTCCATTCTATTTAAAATTAAAAATATGAATCAATCAATTCCTAAATCAGTGGGAATTGCGAGTGCTCAGATTCTCTCAGGATCAGGGCTGAAATGAGGTGTGTGGCTTAAAGTAAATATTTCAGGCTGGTAGATCGGGGTTCTCAACCTTTTTCTTTCTGAGGGCCCCCCCCGCAACATGCTATAAAAACTCCACCGCCCACCTGTGCCACAACTGGTTTTCTGCATATAAAAGCCAGGGCTGGTGTTAGGTGGTAGCAAGCAGGGCAGTTGCCTAGGGCCCTGCAAAGCTAAGTTGCTTGGGCTTTGGCTTCAGCCTCGGATGGCGGGGCCCCACGCTTCAGCCCTGTATGGCGGGGCTTTGGCTTTCTGCCCTGTGCCCCAGTGAGTTTAATGTTGGCCCTGCTTGGCGGCCCCCCACTAAAATTTGCTGGCAGCCCCAGACTCCTGGTTGAGAACTACTGTAGTAGATGATATAGATATTAAGAATCCTCATGTTTGCATGCAGCACTTAAAAATGT